ATCCATCTCTTCATTCTCATCATCTATCTCACTAAATGCACGGTGTTTGCACATAATACTTTATACCGCTTGTTCAGTGATGAATAGGTAAGTTATTAAATTCTAGGTAGTTAGATTAATATTGAGTATTTAACATAATTCTACGCAATACTTACGTATAAAAATAAAACAAACCTTGACGAAAATTAGGGGGTTTTTAATCTACTGTAAAAGTGTATTCACCAGACTATGATTTTTTTATCTGTTCTACATACGTTAATTGGTGGCTGAAAGTTACGTTTTGCTGGCCATGCCAGATGCGATCGTCATTTGGGGACCGATCAGGTTTTTACATCCCTAGGGCCGCAAAATCAGCTGCTTGATTACTTTCTTAAAACATGAATGCATATTAAATACACAATCAGTGTAGCATTGCAATAGAATTGTTTTATTGTTGCCGTTTATGTTTATGAGCCATACAGTATCTGTTCTAATACCTGTGGTAGGTACCACAACTGTACAAAATCGACATTCTCCAGACCAATGTGCTAGCAAGTAATGTTTGCGTTTAATCAACTGTGATTCATACCAGTCAAGTAACCACCGTTTCATTAAGAGTCACTCATAACAACAATTACTTTTGATAACAACAATTACTTTTGATGACAACATTACAAATGTGATGATGCCCACACAACTCCGGATTATTAACTTGTGTATTTAGTTCTATAAGTTTCAGTTCTGACTATTTAGAGACTGTAGTCAACACAATTTATATGCCTAAACTGAGCGCTTCTACGCTAAATGATCTTACTGCTTGTTTGTTAAGTCCTAGGTTAAAATATTTACTTAAATAAAATGGTTGCAGACGGTTGCCACAAAACGCTAATATAGGATTTTATGTAACGGGAGATACAAATTTTGATTCCTTTTAAAATTGTTGCTTCGCATTTGTATAAACTTATCGAAACCATATTATACTCATAAAAGCTTATAAATTTCTAAATTCATAGATTGAAAATGTTTTTTTTTTATTTATCTGAAGGTAAATAAATTTGATGAGTTAATTTTTTATTAACTGTTCTCTATATTCTAATCCCTACTCCTTATCATAGTACTGTAAGTTGTAGGTTATACATATTAACATTGGCAATGATTATGTCAGGTGTCCATTTTTTTTGCATTTTTCAGGTTTTATTATAAATTACAAGACTCTAATGGTTATTTACCTGATAAACTGCTGAAAACTCAGAGATTTATGGTGGCAGAGTTGTCTTTAGTTCATTTAGATGGTAGCTTCGATGAAGTGAGATGAGACTTGTTACTTTATTGTGATCAACATTATAGAGATAAAATGAATTAAATCCAAAAGCTTTATGTTTAGTACAGACAAAATAATATAAAGGCAACTTAAATAACTATTGTAATTTGAGGAATTAAAAATTAGCATGAATAAGTTTTGTAAACATTTTAATAACACTAAAATACTTGGTTTAAGTTACAATAAGGGTACAGCAGAGTTATGTTGGCTGAAATAGTGTTCTAAACTAGCGCAAAGATCACATCGATTATACTTGTAGTTAAGTCAAGTGGATTTATCTACTTCGCCGGGAAAGATGCCAAGAATCGGCTGCAGAAAATAAGTTAAGTGTGGTATTTATAAAACTAGTAAATAAACAAACAGGTTTTACAAATCCTTACATAATACAACAGCTAAAATACCGTAATGGGTTTCAAGCAGTCTCAGCACCTAGGTCCATTATGTCCAGTACGTTTTATATGACATGTTAATTGGTGTGCTTAAACACTATAATTTGAATTTGGAGAAAATAAAAGTCTCCTAAGACAATTAAACTTTATTTATAGGTTAATAGGAAGTAATACATTGGGGAGGAGTGAGGAAGAAATACGTATAGAGTACGTATAATCAATAATCTTATACTTAACTTAAAAATCAGCTCAAGACCAGAACCAATGACCAAATATTAGAATCATTAATACACTTTTCTCGGCAAAGATATATTTTTGGGTCCTATACATAATTTTAAATAAATGAATTTAGCCACACACTAACCAACACAATGGGGGTTGTTTTAAACTATTTTAAAACAATATTTTCCATTTGAATGGTTTGTAACGTGTTTGGTTTAAAATTCTTATTCAAGCCTCGTTGTGATGGCGAACCTGTTTGATGGTTTTTCGCCAATAAAGATCCAATAAAGATTATTAAAGATTATTTATGTAAAGATTACCAATAAAGATTATTAATTCCAAATCGTTCCAAAGATCACTCATTGTGGTTTTAGCGAATTTCCCATATAGTCCATTGTCAAATGTACACCCGTGTGCTCCTTGATGAGGCAGGTGTGGGAGTAGTCTTAATCTCTTCGTTTAACCTTGGAGAAATACAATTTCGATGGTGGCACTCTTGAAAATGGTGCGTTTGAACGCTGTGGGTAAAAAACAAAATGGCCGCCATTTAAATGTTTAAAATCAAATTCCATGAAAACCAGCTATTAAAACAAAATTTTGCAACACATTTCTTAAAGTCCTTTTTATTACAAATAGAATGACACTTTATTTGCAAAAATCGGATAATAAATAAAAAAGTTATGTTACTTTTATTATTAATAGTAATTATCAAAATGACAGTCATTTTTAAATCACAATGTTAAATTCCATAGAAACTAGTGACAAAAACATAATAAAAGTTACATAACTTTTTTATTTATTATCCGATTTTTGCAAATAAAGTGTCGTTCGATTTGTAATAAAAAGGACTTTACAATACTGTGTTTCAAAATGTTGTCTTAATTGCTGGTTTTCATGGAATTTGACTTTAAAAAATTTTAATGGCCGCCATTTTGAAATCCGATGAGCCTGATCAAATATTTTTTCGGAGAATGTTTATAGTTGTAGACTTAAGGTTTATACCAAGTTTCATAAAAATATCTCCAAGAGTTTTTGAGTTATGAATTATTTTCAAAAAATACAAAATGGCGGATTACGGCTAAACTAAGCCGAAATCAAAAAAATCTTATACTACATTTTCGACTTATTTTTGCACATAGAATTTGAATCTGCATAGCCCGTTACGCTTTACTGAAACACCCTTTATTACTTTTTGAAATATTTAACTGTCCTGGGACATTACTTCCACCCTGATTAATTTATTTATGAAAAATATAAAATTATGTTTTATGAAAGAATGGTGTATCCTACATAAAAACTTAAATAATCTTTTTTGTGCAGATTTGAAATAGCAACATTTTGGTATCAACAATTCTTTCATAACTCTAACGGTTACTGATATAAGTAAGAAAAGAAGTTGCGACGGCGGCCATTTTGTTTTTTTTCCACAGCGTTCAAACGCACCATTTTCAAGAGTGCCACCATCGAAATTGTATTTCTCCAAGGTCAAACGAAGAGATTAAGACTACTCACACACCTGCCTCATTAAGGAGCACACGGGAGCCTGTATATGTACATTTGACAGGGGACTAATATAGGGAATAAGCTATTACTACAATTCTCATGGTGTGACCTGAACCCAAGATCTATTTTTTTAGTTTTGATGTCGCTAGAGGCCAAAAACACCACCAGTTCAAATTCATACCCAGTATAATTTTATCTTACTAATATTATAAATGTGAAAGTTTGTATGTTTGTTTGAAGTTCAATCACGCATTAACTACTAAGGTCGGAAAAAATTAAGGATAAAATTAAGGTCGGATTGGGCTTATATTCCCAATTAGCATATAAGCCTATTCTTATCTCAGTCAAAACCCCTTTCGGGCTCCGCTCCAGTGGCTCTGTAATTTCCCATGTTAACCCTAGTATTCATGTATACAAGGAACTACTGTAGGCCTACCTGTTGCTCGAATTTGAGCATTTACGAAGTATTACAGTCATTATTTTAAAATTATTTCCGATGACTTCAAAAGAGTCGACTCAAAGATTAATAAAATATTCACGATGTAGATAGCAGTTTGATATAATCAACATTTCTTGTAAATATCTTATCATTTTCCAAAAAACTGATCTTGTTTTTTTTTAGCGTTTTCTACAAATGTTTCCCACTCATATACGCATTAGGTTGTCCATAATAACGACTATAAATACAAAAAATATTTCTATTTCTTCTAAATTTACTTGGTCAGTTTTTATGACTTTCTTAAGTTCCATAATTTGCAAATCGGCTCTTTCCATGATTGCTCTAGAAATGTAGCACAGTGTTAATTCAGTTTTCTTTTTTGTACATTATATCAATTTGTCCAGGCTCTCTCGTTTTTTTCGAATATTTACGCCAAAACAAATTCAAATAGTAAATATTTAATTTTAACCAAGTCTAGTTTTCTTAAATCGCAACTAAAATATTAACAGCAATTAAATTATTAAGATAACTTTTAGAACTAGGGAATGTCGAAGCCGTATTTTTGGTTTAGGGTTTCAGGGTTTTTAGAAATTAAGTTAATTATTTTTTGTCTAGCAGCCGACGCTAACTTTTTAGATTAGCTTCTGGTATAATACCATTTGCTTAACGTAACAGCCTGTAAAATATATTCTGCGAGATATTCTGCGTTCGCAACACATATTCAGCATTTGGATAAAAATGAAATCACTTAAGTAGGGTTGACTTATTTATTTTATGTGTAATGCTATAATCATTGATACGTTTATTTATTCGGTAAGAGGATAAGATATTATTTACATATTCGTAGTAAAATAGGCCTACTACATGGTCTAATTTAATTTTTAGAACAGTCTTTAAATATTGGGGTTTTTTGTGCAATATATAATTTGTCTGAACTAACAGCTGGATGGATATAAAAATATTCTATGAAACTGTGAGGCTTTTTTTATTTAGTCTATGATTTTGTCATTGACTATATGAAATACATAAACTTAGTAGAAATGAGTAGACCACTTAGATAAGTAAGACCATTGCTGTATACAAATCGAGGCTCTGCCCACGAGTCTTCAGAGTAAAGCCTATGCAAATGATTTTACTGATCAACTTTTTAAGGAAAGAGTAGGATGTTTAATTCATCAGCTGGAGCTGTTGCTGGTGCTTGAGTGGGTGCTGTGGCTAGAGTTGGGGCTGGTTGTGCTGCTTTAATTGATGCTGGGGCTACAGCTGAAGCTGTTGCTGGTGCTTGAGTGGGTGCTGTGGCTAGAGTTGGGGCTGGTTGTGCTGCTTTAATTGATGCTGGGGCTACAGCTGAAGCTGTTGCTGGTGCTTGAGTGGGTGCTGTGGCTAGAGTTGGGGCTGGTTGTGCTGCTTTAATTGATGCTGGGGCTACAGCTGAAGCTGTTGCTGGTGCTTGAGTGGGTGCTGTGGCTAGAGTTGGGGCTGGTTGTGCTGCTTTAATTGATGCTGGGGCTACAGCTGAAGCTGTTGCTGGTGCTTGAGTGGGTGCTGTGGCTAGAGTTGGGGCTGGTTGTGCTGCTTTAATTGATGCTGGGGCTACAGCTGAAGCTGTTGCTGGTGCTTGAGTGGGTGCTGGGGCTAGAGTTGGGGCTGGTTGTGCTGCTTTAATTGATGCTGGGGCTACAGCTGAAGCTGTTGCTGGTGCTTGAGTGGGTGCTGTGGCTAGAGTTGGGGCTGGTTGTGCTGCTTTAATTGATGCTGGGGCTACAGCTGAAGCTGTTGCTGGTGCTTGAGTGGGTGCTGGGGCTAGAGTTGGGGCTGGTTGTGCTGCTTTAATTGATGCTGGGGCTACAGCTGAAGCTGTTGCTGGTGCTTGAGTGGGTGCTGGGGCTAGAGTTGGGGCTGGTTGTGCTGCTTTAATTGATGCTGGGGCTACAGCTGAAGCTGTTGCTGGTGCTTGAGTGGGTGCTGTGGCTAGAGTTGGGGCTGGTTGTGCTGCTTTAATTGATGCTGGGGCTACAGCTGAAGCTGTTGCTGGTGCTTGAGTGGGTGCTGGGGCTAGAGTTGGGGCTGGTTGTGCTGCTTTAATTGATGCTGGGGCTACAGCTGGAGCTTTTGCTGGTGCTCTATTTTCATATTTACTGTACACAGTACTCATTATACCATAAAACTTCAATTTAAGAATTAGAGTTCCAAAATTAACTCGTCTATCTCTAAATATTAAACAGTATTCCAAAAACAGACTGAGTTCTAGTTTTACGAAAAAGGAAGCTTTCTTACTTTTCGAAAGTATAGGTTTATCCTATTAAACCTACACTGCCACCAAGTTTCACCAAAAGCACACTACCCAACTGCTAACTAATAATTAACTCTTAATAGTACATGCGAAAAATTACATGGCAATTTCCATTTAAAGTTTAGTTTTATCTCAAGAGATAAAATAAGCCAACATCTATACAGTTTTATCTGCAAATCTGAAACAATAATGGTTATTCACTATTCAGCCGGAACAAAAGTAAAAACATCGGGCATGGCTTCCCATACAACACTGTCATTCATTCTGGCGCAGAACCGTTTTAAACCAACAATTATTGGACGAACAATTACTTTTAAGTTGCCAATTTCTCCAACACTTTTTGAAACTTGTGGTATGCATCGAGTAGTAATAATAGAGATCGATGGTGGTATTTTGATGTATATTTTGTTGTATAATATGGTTTTTATGATTAGAAAAACAAACTTTTAATACATGCAGTAAATGTGTTTAATTTTAGTTTTAGTTGTTGTTCTTGACGTTTATTTATACAAATACACACAATATACATATACAACAAGCTATCATTTTAAAACTCCATTGTAACCAAATTAAAGACCGGGTAAGCAATAAGCGTAGGTCAAAACAGTGGTTTAGTGGTTGATACATACATTTATATACATACATTTTTGTATATTTACATACATTTTTATACATTGTATGTAGTGAGCTATGACGGCCCTTGGGTTGGGGCTAGCAGCCGCCTGGTGGTGATAGTGCAGTGCATCGTTAGAGTTATCAGACCAACAAGATAACAAGATAACATTCATGACTATTTGGCAAGTGTTTCAAATTATAATTTTTCTTCTTACTTATTTACTTTTAAATTGTTTAAGACCATTGTGTTTTTAATTTCAAATCTTATTTATATCTTTCTGAACGCTCTTTGTTTATGTAAAATTTATAATTAACGGAACCTCAACTACAGGCTTTGCCTATAGAGGCCCTATTTATTTTCTCTACGTTAAAATTTGTAGGTCACGCTTATTGTACATAGCAGATATTCTTTTCATGTTTAAGATGATTTATTTTTGTTTTCTGAATTAGTCATATGTCAGCCTGGTGAGATCAACGGACTGAAAATAGCATAATTATTCTTTATAGTCGTAATCAACTTCATTTGTTTTGTATCTTTTTATTAATGTGAATTTGTTGTGCAATAGTTGTGACCTGTGTATTAAATGTATCCGATCTGAAAGAGAAAATAAACAAACATTCTATTCTATTCTATTCTATTCTAACTCGAAAATAATTATTTTTTAAACCTTTGTAATTGAGAGATTTCGTCAGTTTCTTGCTCCAACGCCATTGGCTCGTTAGTCACTGTCAGCGCCACGAAAACGCGGCCATTAAATTACCTCTCCTGATAAATACCCTCTTGAATCTGAATAACCTGATAAACTCTTTTGATAAGTGAGTATTTATCAAAGAATTATGGATTTCGAAAGAATTAACAAATATCTATTATTTCTACGTCAATGGCATTTGTAATTGAAGTCAAAGTTAGTTAAGTATAGGCTAAACGATTTTAAGGGAAAGTGGTCCAAACCCATCATGTATCCCCGTTGAAAGTTGTTTATACGTACCCAACCTATTTGACTGTATTTATCGTATATACATGGTGTTAAATATTTAGTAATTCAACTAAGGACATTTAATAAAATATTTATTTAATAACATATGAACTATATACAGTCAAATATAAACAATTAATCAAGTAGTATTAACATTCAAGTCAAGTTTTTAGTTCAGTTATTGAAAGGATACAACAGCTGATATGATGACATCACTGTCCAAAGTTCACTACAGCACTTCGTACTAGTCAGTTCAGTTTAGACTCACCTCTCTCACAGTACACAGTGCTTACCTTTTGGTTTAGTTCATATTAAATATTTTAATCTCTCTTTCTCTCTTACCGCTCCAAGTGCATTATTTCATCATTTCTCATTTAAATATGGATTCCAAATTTATAGTACCAAGTGTCAAGCTAGGATCCAAGAAGATATTTTTATTTAAAGTAGATGTGTTGTAAATTTTCGTGTACAGTCCAGAATATTCATGAGTAGTGAATTGCTTTCTTTTTATTAATGAAGAAGAGTTTTAATTTAAATCAGTGAAGAATTACATACTACACAACAATAGTCATTTCTCAACATCATCTTTCATCTGTGGTCCTTCGATTCTCGTCACTCTGGCCAGAGCCATCGCTTCTCTGCTCATCTTGTTCCTGTTCTACCAAAACCCTAATGGATCTTCAGTTTTAGGATCTAAAGGTATTTCTCACAATTTTACCTCTTAATACCAAACATAACATGGTCCTTCGAGCCGGAAGTTTCCCAGCCTATGGAAAATAATCTACTGTGACTATTAAGTTTTGTATTTATTTGAACTGAATAAATTAATTGAATAAATCTGTCATCAACATTAAGTATCATTAACAAGAGGATTAAATATTTTTGATCACATTATTATCAATTTATTAAATTGTTGCAGTAATTTGTGAAATAACACATAAAGTTTTGTTGTCCCAGACAGAAAATTTTGTTCTCAGACTGTACTGTCTACAACTCCTGTATTTTCATGCATAGTTTGTCTATTCTCTATTGTGCATTATCGGGCTGCATCCTGTCTGCCCCCCTCTCTCCCCCCTGTAATGTGAAACAAGTTTCTCTCTTGTTGCTGAATATTAAGAAAATCATGGAAGTCATACCAACTTCACAGCTGATCAACACTAGCGCTGCTGATGGATAGAAATGAAAAGTTAAATGTCATTATGCAAGACTTTGTTTATGTTTTCATAACCTCAATTGTTTGCTTACACTTTAAATTAAAGTGACAGAAGAATGTTTATTAATACGGATTGAACATTTAATTACAGTTTGTGTTTGAAATGACATGTTTTATTTAATTTCAAATTTATTATCTGGAAATAATTGCAGGTAGATATTTTCTGGGACTTAAACTTTTTATAGGCCTATACTATGGCTGAATATTTCTCTTTGATTTCAAGTTGACTAATATTAATATTTAATACAATGAATCCTGGCTGTCTTTAAATAAGTTTTGCTCATTATAAACTTATTTTAATCTGCATTTATTTTTATTTTGGAATTTTATTGAATTTAAGACTTATTCAAAATGAGGTTCTCAACTTTTGTGAAGCAATCTGAGCTTGTGCTAGCCAGGCTTAAGTCAATTGAAGCAAAAGTGCTTGCTATCGAAAAGGAACCTATCACTCCTCAACTTATAACAAAGCTCACTCTTTTGGATTCCACCGCTACAGCCAAAAATAATGATTTTGACAAATTAGTGAATAAGTTGTTCGGCACTGTGCCTTTACCTGAGGAATTAGATGAAAGTGAAAATATCACTACAATTTCAACATTACAAGATGAAATAAGTGATCTCTATGTGTCTATTCACTCTTTGTGTGTGAACTTGATACCTTCCCCAAGCTCTAACCAGTCGAGCCAGCCAAACCTGGATGATTCCAATGCAGCTATCAGCCAAGTAGCTACAACTAAGGTTAGTGTACAGCTTCCTAAACTTCAACTTGGTACCTTCTCAGGTCAACATGAAAAGTGGATGGCGTTCAAAAATTTGTTTGAAAATACTATTCATAAAAATGATAGTATTTCTGGTGTTGAAAAAATGAGTTATTTGTTAAGCTGTCTTGAGGGAGAGGCACTTTCAGTTGTTAAAAACATCCCTATGACTAATGCTAATTATTTTATTGCATGGGAATCTCTACTTAAAAGGTATCAGAATACAAGATTACTAATCTCTCTTCATGTCAACAATGTGTTAGACTTACCAGTTCTTCACAATCCCTCAGAGAAGCAACTTAGAAGGTTTTTGTCTGTTTTAAATGAAAACATTGAAGCACTTAAAGCTCTAGATGAAGAAATTTCTCAGGAAAATTTAATTTTGACCTCTCACTTGTTAAGAAAATTTGATTCTGATTTTCGCCATCATTTTGAACAGAGTCGAAGTGATAACTCTGTAACTCCTAAGTTAGATGAGTTAACCAAGTACATTGAGTCTCACTGTGTAAATCTTGAAGCAGCTAATCTTACTAATGTGGGATCATCTCTTAAGGGTACCTTAGGCCACCACACTCAAGTAAAACCCCCTCAGCGCTCAAATAAATCGGCGCTTATTGCAACTCCTCGCACTGTTTGTACATTTTGCGCAGGTGCAGATCACAAAATCTATCAATGCAAAGGTTTTCTTAAATTGACTTTCTTGAATTATAAGAAATGTATAATTTTGTTAAAGGCAAAAATTTGTGCACCAACTGTCTTGGCGATAAGCATAAGGTAAAGGAATGCAATTCATGGCGTACATGTTCTACGTGTAAAAGAAAACATCACTCTCTTTTGCATTTTATGGATTCTGAAAATAATCCCTCTCCTAATGTGTCTAAAGGTAACACAGACAAACGAGCTCCAAGTTCTGACTCAAATAAAAATGAATCTGGTTTTGTTGGTTTGACAAATACAGAGAACACAGTTCTTCTTGCCACTGCTTTAATTGTGGTAAAATCAAGCGAAGGTAAGACCCTAGTTTGTAGGGGAGTTTTAGATTCTGCTGCTCAGTCTACCTTCATTACTCAAAGATGTGCTCAGTCTTTAGGGATTAAGCGCTCTCATGCTAATAAAACGCTTATTAATGGCATCTCGTCTGCTCAGGTGAAAACAAAAGGGTTAACTCATGTCACTCTCCAGTCCCTTAGTGGATATGTATTGGCAAGCTCTCACCCTGTCTTCATTTTGGATAATATCACTCCAGATTTACCTCGAGCTAAGATCACTCCTGAAGTTCGCTCACAGATGCAACATTTA